TTTTCTTTTATATTTTTTTCTATTTTTTCAAATTTCATTAATAAATAATCTTTTGTTACTATTTACGTTTTATTCTAAACTTCTTTATTTTTATTTAGTATTTTGCTACTTCCTTTTGAATAATTTGTTTTCTAATCACTTGATTTTGTTTAAAATGTATTCCGTTATTTTAAATAGTTTTTAATAATAGAATTTCATGGTTTTTAAATATTTTGAAATTTATTAAACCACTCAGATTTTCCAACTATTGAATAATTTACGATTTCGTTATTTTAATAATATTTTAAACCATTATTTGTTTTGTTTATTTTAGAATTTTCGAATATATTTTTTGTTTATATTTCTGTTTGTGCTTAAGGATTTAATGGAGATAAACTTCTGTTTATAAATTTTTATTAATAATAAATTGAATGGGCTTATGTTTTTTATTGATCATTTGGTTATTAATAAAGATTTTACTAATTTTTTAATTTAATAATTTTGTATCTAGGAGATATAAATAACTTCTTTTTTTATTATTATTATTCAGTTTTTTAAAATGAGGAGTCTATTAGATCTTCAAATATCTTAAATCCTTTACTTAATTTCATTCTTTTTATTAATTTTTCAATAAGTTTAATTTTTTTTATCAATCTAATTCTAATTTAAGTTAATTAATAAAACAAATAGATTAAAGTTATATATAATTCAAACAAAATAATTATAAGTAAATAAATTTATATTTAGTATATTTATTTAATAGCATTATTGTAGAAATTTAATTACGTATATATAATCTTAATTTTTTTTTTAAAAAAAAAAAAACTCGGAATTATTAATTAATTAAGAATTAATTTTTTTTTTAAAAAAAAATTAAAAATATAATAATATTAAAATTAAGTTTTTTACTGGAGAAGAAAATATATATTAAAATAATTTTTATATAAATCAAAAAGATCTGTATCGATACCTAAATTCAAATTAATAGCTTGTATATAATAAAAATAAAAGTATTTTATGTAATTTTTATTCTTTAAATTTCTATATAATCAATATGGATGTAAGTACCTTAAACCCTTAAATAGTTTACTCTTACTCATCTTCCCATATCATTCATCAATTTTTAATTTATTTAAAAATAAAAAATATAAAATCATTCTGCCACCACCTTATTTTTTTATTTTTTTCTGAAAATAGTGATTTTTACTTTACCCATATAAGCTTTTTTATAAAATTTAACGATTGATTTACAATAAATTTAAAAATTATATAAAAAAGTTTTTAAAATAATAAAAGCTTTAGGACAAAGCAATTTTTATGGTAAATAATATTAATTTTTAAATAATATTATCTAGAAATTTTCTTTACTAAAAATGAAATGAGTTTATCAATCATTTTTTTTAAATAACTGCAAATAATAACATTTAGTAAATTAAAACTTAAAAAAATCCCTGACCATTAACATTCAATTATTTAAATAATAAATTTGAAACAATGCAAAAGCAAAAAATCATAAAGTATTCATTATAACACCCTTTAAGACCGTAAAATTGAAAATGTATAAATATTAATTCTTTATTTTAAGGATATATAAATAAAACTTATTAATTATTATATGTTATAATAATTAAATATTTTCTAGATTTTATATAACATAAATATTAACTAATAAAATATTTCTTTTAAAGTTATGCCTAATATAAATAAGTGCATTAAGTATTATTTGTGATAGCCAAATGCATATGGATATATATTTTGCTTATTTTATTTTTTTATATTATTGTTGAATATATTTATATTAATGATATTTGAAATTCTAAAACCACAAATTGTAACTTTAAATTTTTCAAATTTTGTAAATTATAAATTAGACAGTGAATAATAATCATATTTCGGGGTATTTAATTATTTTCTTTAGTATTTTAAAAGCTTTTCTATTATGAAAGATTATAAGTTAAATATTTATCATTAAAATTCTACTTTTTATAGAAAAAACTTCAATTTTTTTTGTTCTATTGTATTTTATTTTTATTTCTTAAGTACAAAACATGATTTTGTTTTTTTCGGATTTTTATATAAACTATTTTTTTAAAAAATATTAATAAAATATAAACTTTTTTATATTATATCTAAAACATTTTATAATTTTTATTATTAATTATTTATATAATAAAATAATAATAAATCTGAAATAAATATTTATGCTTTTTATATTTTTTTTTAATTAATTAAAAATAAATATATATATTTAGTTTTTTTATTTAATTTGGTTTATGATACTAAAAAAATGATGAAAAATACTTATAAAAAATTGAAATTAAATGCATTTTTAAAAATAAGTAGATGAAAAAAATAATTTATTCTCTTTTTAATTTAATAAGAATATAAGGGCACATTTTTTAATTAAATATTTTTAATATCTTATTATTTTATTATTTTTATTTTAAAATATATGTAAAATATGTTATTTATTTATTTTATATTGTAAATTAATAATTTATAATAATAACTAGATTAATAATATAATAAAAATATAATTTCCCCTTATTTATGTATTTTATTTTATGTAAACTTTATCTTAAATATTATAAAGAGTATATTTGTTTTTAGGTAAATGCCCTTCTATTATTTTAAAATGCAATCATATAGCTTCGAAATCTATTTTATATGGATTTAATTATAATTTAGTATACTTTATCTATTTATTTATTTTAATGATAGATATTATTTCTTTATTTGAAATAAACACATAATAAAATTTAAGAAAGAATTTTTTTTGTTTAAATTGATTTTTTTTATTAAATGTAATCCATTAATAATAAAAATATTATTTTCGAAAAACAAAAACTAATTAAGTTTACTTTTATATTTTTTGTTAAAAAAGTATTTGTAATTAATTTTTGCTTATTTATTTATTTAAAACAAAAAATTAGAACTTTTTATAGAATTATGTATATTTTTGTTATAAAAAATATATAAAACGAAATAAAATCATTTTAATAAAGATTTTAATAATTTAATCCCTTTATCATTTTCATCTTAATTTTTCATCAATTTTTTATTTTATTTAAAAGTATCAATAATCTAATAAAAAAAATAATTAATAAAAAAATAAAAATAAAATAAGGAAAATACTTTTTATTTATTTATGTTATTTTCAATCATAGCAACAAGTAAATAAATACTTCTTGATTATAAAACAAGGTTTTAATTTTTAAGAAGAAAATCAAATAAAGAATTTATTTTTTCTAAAATTTAATTCTTAACTTTTTCATCTTTAATATCATTAACTACCAAAATTATGTTTTTAATAATTCTATGAGAATCATGATGACTAATAAGTGATTAATCATTTAATTCTTTATTTTATACACTAAACTTTTTTTTCGAATCCTCCATAAACTTTTTGAAAATCTCAAGTACGAAAGGAATATGAATTGTTTTAGAATTCAAAAGAATATATCTAATGACACCAGAAAGAAGTCTTGAAAAAGAGAAATCTTTTAAAATTTCTTAATTTTCATTAATAATATTTTTTAAAGCTAAAACCAAATCATTTATTATATTTTCAATTAATTCCTAACATCTTTAGTCTTAATTTTTTTTACTAATTTTTATTTTTAAATATTATATATATATTATATGGAGGAAGGCTAAAATGAAAATATTTTTTAAAAATACCTTGTTGTAAATGAAATTTCTTTTTCAATTTTAGTTAAAGCGTTATTTTAAGGTGAAAATAATGCCATAAAAACTTATATTCCATTTTTTTCCTTTAAAAGAATACCAAATTATCCCTTTATTTCTGACAAAATTTACTTATTTAAAATAACTGTATCATCAATACTTAAAAGAAGTTTAATAATAATCAAAAAAGCATTAGAATTTTTTGTATTTATAACTTCAACCACTTAATCTTTTAAGGTTTTTAATATATTTTTTCTTTGCTTTGTCGAAGCATAGTTTATTATTTCAAAACAAAGCTTTATTCCTTCTTTTGAATCTAATAATTCTAGTGTTTTTTCACTTAAATAATCTATTATTTTTTCTCTTTCGGCTGGAATTAAAATTGGAAGTGCAATTTTTAATATATGTTTTGATAATATTGGACCATGATTTTATTTATCAACAATTTTTGTAGCTAAGTTTTCAATTGTTTCTTCTTTTTCAGATTTTTTTTATTAAAATACGGCTTTTAATTAATTAAATTATGCAGGAGTGGCTAATCCATTAGCAAATTTATCCAAAATTTTAGAACCTTCAACATGAGAAGCTAAAAAATATGCATTTTTATGTAGAATATCAAAAAGTCCTTTTTTTATGTCTTTATTTTTGACAAATTTAATGAATTTTAAAACAACAAAATGTCCATATTTGCTTTTAATTATTTCTTCTAACTCTTTAGAATCTAATAAAATTTAGAATATTTTTTCTTATTATTCTTTGTTTCCATATTTTATACAGGCTTATACACATCTTGATCCATCTCTTTTATGAACCATTTATTTAAGAATACCGCTTAACTTTTTAAGAATTTGGGATATTTCTTATTCTTTATCTTATTATGGAATCTCTTTGTTTGTTATTTTTGATGTTTTAGATGTATATTGGCTTATATCAAGTTGATTTTGAGATGCATCAGGATTCTTTTAGTCGAATTTTTGTTCTTATTTCTTTACTTTTTTATTATTAGATTCTCCGTTTGGTTTAGAGTCTTTATTTTGGAATTTTTGTTAGTTTTGTTTAGTATTTTATTTAAAAACAGATTCTTATTAGGATTTCTTTAATTACTTTTTTACAGGAGGATTTAAAATTAACTAATTTGGCCTTTTCGAGTTTTTCATTTTTTGTTTTGTTTTAAAAAATAAATAAATATTTATGTATATGCTTTTTTTTTTTATTTTTATACTGATTTTAGTTTTATGCCTCTAAATTTTTATTTGTTAATTTTTTTTTTTTTTGAGTATAAATTTAATTATTAGCTCTTTTTTTTGTTTTTTTTTGTTTTTTAAACTAATTTAAATAAATATTTATTATTATTTTTATTTTAACAAAAAATAAAAAAAACAAACAAATAAATGTAAGTATAAAATATTTTATTTTTCTATTTTCAAAGCAAATTAATAGTACATCCGATATTAATTAGCTTATCTCTTAATTCTTCTGCTTCTGCTTTTTTAAGTTCTTTTTTTAATATTACAGGAGCTTTTTCTACCATTTCTTTTGCTTCTTTTAGTCCCAAATTAAGGACTGTTCTTACTTCTTTGATTATTTTTATTTTTTAAGCTGCATCTATGGCAGTTAATTCCACATCATAATTTTATTTCTTTTTTTTATTTTTTTTAGTTTAAAAATAAAATAAAAAAATTCACAAAAATATTATTTTTTATACTTCTTTAGCTGCTGCTGGTTCTTCTTTCTTACTACCTTTGTTTTATTCGCCTTACTGGGCTGCTTAATTTTATTAAACGGCTCCTTATTCTCCATTTCCACTACCACTTCCTCCACCCGACATTCCTCCGAAAAGTTAAGCTAAACCAGCTTATCCTGAAGGCCATAGTTTAGCAATAGCTTCTTATTATAAAAACCAGTTAGGATTAGCAGGAGGCCAAGTTCCATCTTCTATTTATTTTATATTATATTATTTGATATTGTTTTAGATTAAAAAAAACCTAATTATTTCATTTAAGGCCAATCTATATTTATTTTTAAAGGTGAAGTCTAAGTAGTTTTTAAAATTTTGTCTTTTAAAACAAAATGTAAGTATCTAGACTCCATAACATTCAATTCTAAAAGAGCTTCTGTTAAAAATTCTATTTTTTTTTTTTAGCCTTCGGTCATTTCATTATCTAATAATGATAATTAACTTTTATTTGTTTTTTTAATTTTTTTAGTTTTTTTTTTGTTTTTTTATGTACTTTGTTTCAGTTTCTTTTTATATTCTTTTCCAATCACGCTCAAATTTAAAACATAATTCTTAATATTTTATTTCTTTTGCTTATTTGGGATCTTATTAGTTTTATAATTCTGTGGTTGAAAAATAATATATATAGAGCCTTTTTGATTGCTTTTTTATGAATTATTAAATCATTATTTTTATCTTATATTTTGATTTTTTTATATCTTTTTTTTTTTTGTAATTAAATATTTTTTATTTATTTTATTTTTCTTTTTTATTAAATTAAGTATAAAATATTTTATTAATAAATGGAATAATAGATTTAGTAAACTGATAATACTGAGTGTTTAGAAATATTAAAGAAAAAACTTACAAATTTAAATAATATAAGAAATGAAATAAGAAAAATAAATAATGATAATTAAATGCAATTTTAATTAAAAAAAGAAGGAATTAAAGAATTATTGTATATTTCATTTTAAATAAAAAAAAAAACATTAAAAATTAAATAAAAAAATAAGATAAAAGTATGATTAAGAATTAAAAGAAATTCTTAAAATTAATGATGATGATATATCTTAATCTAGAGAATTTAAAATTCCTATAGAATTAATAGAGTAAAAAATATAAATAAATAAACAATATAACATATATATATAAATATATATATATATATATATTTAATTAATAAATTATTTCAATAGATTTTTAGATGATAATAAAAATGTGGATGATTATATGAATGATTTGAAAATCTAATTATAAAAAATAATTTAAACATAAGAAAATAAATAAAATATATTTGCCCATTTTGCTCAAGTATATGAATAAAAATTAAAAGAAAATTAAATTATAGATTGATTTTTATTATAGCAATTTTTTATTTTTTTTCATATATTCGAAATGTAATTTATTTTTACTTAGTTTAGTTATCATATTTTTGATTTATCATTTCAATAAATATTTAATATATAATATTTATATATATTATTATTTTTTATACAAAAAATTATTTTATTATTCCCATTTATATATATTTCGAATTATTTAAAATATTATTATTATAAATATTACTATTAATTATTTTAACTCTTTTATATAATAGCTTTTATAATATTTTTTTAAATAATTTATGGGGAAGGGGAAGGCGAAGGGGAAAGGAAGGGGAATATAGCACATTATATAAACATTAAATATTTTTCCTAAAAAAACTGTATTTTCTTCTTTATTTATTTTTGATTTTATTAAATTAATATACTATAAAACTAGTTTATTAACAATAAATAAATACTAGATTTATTTTGAATATTTAGTAATACTCTTTTTACTATTTACTAATATATCCATACTAATTTTGCATATTTAAATTAAATAATTTTAATTCAAATAAATTGCATTTTTTTATAATATTTATCCAAAACTGACTCAATATATATTTATTGATGTAGGTTTGTATTTTTTTTTGTGTTATACTTATTACTTTTAAGTTATATAATTTTATAATATACTAAATTTAATATAATTTTCTTTAAGATTGAAATCTTAAGTTAAACTTAATGTAGTCATTTAATATTATTTTTTAATAAATTTTCTATATTTATAATAAAAATTCTATATGTTTAATTGTTGAGTTTTTTTATTAATTATTTGTTTATTTTTTTTTAACATCTTTAAATACAATTTCTATATTCATGTTATTTAAATATAAAAATCTTTGAAATTTTTGAAAATTTATTAACTAAATTTTCCAATAAATAAATCATTTCGTAATATTTATATTTTTATATATTTATTTTATATAATTAGTTTATTTTTCTTATTTATTTTTAAATTCATTTATGATTTTATATTTGACATTTATTATAAATAAATATTAGACTTCATATTATTGAATACTAGATTTTAAATGATTTTCTGGAATAATATATTGTTTTCATATATTGAAATGTTAAATTACTTATATTTATTAATCATATTTAAATAATATACTTATATTTATTAATCATATTTAAATAATATATAGGGTTTTGATATTGTTTTAAAATTATATTTTTCTATGACTTAATATTTGAATTGCTATAAAGCTTAGAATAAGTGTATTGAATTATATCTTTGTTTTTTTTTTTTTTTTCGATATAAAAATTTAATTTAACTTGTATCAAGTATTTTTTTTTTTTTTTCATAAAATAAATTATTTTTAATATCTATAAAAATAATTTTAAATTTATTTTTTGTTTTCTAATATTTAATAATAAATTTCCCCTTGAAAAAAATTATTTTTATCTTTATAAAAGCATAATTATTAATAAGAATAAATATATTATATGAAATAAAAAATAAATGAGTGAATAGATAATTAATCAAAACTTTGCTTATCTAAAAGGGTTAAATTAGAACCAATAAATAAAATTATTATATATTACTTACACGAATTTACTTCTAAAGTTGTATACTTAAAATAAATAAAAAATTATTATTATTAATTTTCAAAATTAAAAAATTAAACCAATCTATTATATTGCTAATATTTTTGATAAATTCAGAATAACTTCTTCAAATTGTAGATGAATTACTTCAAAAAAAAAAAAAGTCTAAAAATAAATTGGGAAGGACCAAGATTCACTTCCTGATAAAATTTGGCTTTATCGTGTTATAAAAAATTTTGATCTTTAAGTTGAATTGAAAATCTTTAAAAAATTATTAACTTTTGTAGAAACCCTTACCAAAAAATTAAACCCAAAAGTATAATATTTTTTTTTTTTTTTTTTCTAAACTTTAATCTATATATAAAATAATTAAGAGGCTTCTATAAGTTTGGCAATCTGAAAAACATAAAAATAAGTATTATAATCTAAATAAAAAAATATAAAAATTAATTAAAAAAATGAAAAAAACAAAATTAAAACTTAAAAAATAAGAAAGATAAAAATGACATAATTCCAAAACATATTCTCATTACCATAATTTTTTGTTTTTTTTAATTATACAAGTACAAATAATCATCAGAGTGTCACCAGCATAAGACAATGACTCCAAAACTGCTTTCTCTGGTTTTCAGGCCTAGCTGCTCCAGCAGCTGCACTAGGGCGGTGCTATAATAATTAAAATTATTTAATGATTTTAAATTTTACTAAAAAATATATTATTTTAGGGTAATTATATAATATATATTATTATTCGAAGTAAAATAAAAGTAACTTATTGTCTGAATATATTAAATGCTTTAGCTTTAATTAATAAAACTATTTTATTAATATGTAACATATATTGAAGTTATATATTTTTCAATCATCTTCATCTTCCATATTGAAAGCTTTCATTAATTAAAATAAAACATTTTCTGCATTTTTTTTTCTATCTTCATCATTCAAATTTTATTAACTAAAAAAAAAAAATATAAAAAAATATATATATATATATATAAAAAAAATAAAAATAAAAATAAAAAATATAAAAAAAAAATATATAAATAAAAAATATAGAAAAAAAAAATATAGAAAAATACTTTTATTTAATAGATTTCATTTAATTAATAATATTAAAAAAATCTTCCATATTTTCTTCATTTTAATTTTCGTCTTTTTCTTCTTTTTCTTTTTTAGGTTTTTTTTCTTCTTTTTCTTTTTTAGGTTTTTTTTCTTCTGCTTCTTTTTAAGGTTTTTTTTCTTCTTTTTCATCCGAATTTTCTTCGAGTTAATTTTCTCTAATTTTAGCATTTTTTTCATACATTTCTTTTGAAATATTTACTTTATTAAGGACTTTTTTTTAATGATTTTCCTCTTTTTTGCTAACTTAATTTTACCAAAAACTAGACTCTAAAATTTCTATAATTCTTTCAAATCCTTCAGCCTCATCAAAAAGAGACTTATTCTCTTTTTTTTAGAAATTTTTTAAAATAAGAAAATCATCAATGACAGTTTCTATAAAATTTTCGAGTCCTTATTCTTTTTTTTAAAAATATTCTTGATCATATTCCAATCCTTTATTTACTTATATTACTAAAGTTTATATTTATGGTTAATATTTTTATATAAGCTTATCCACAAATTTAAAGTATTAATCATATCCTTCAACCTTTTTTTATTTTTATTTTCAATTTTTTTTTTAATTTTTTATTACTTCTTATTTTTATTTTGCTGTGGCTAAGAAGAATAAACCTTCATACTTTTAATTATTTTCTTTACAAAATTCATCTATTCCAGCTATTTAAATATTTTAATATGTTTGTGTACATAAGTTTATGCTTGCTTTATAATATTTATTCTCTATTTAAAATGTATTTTCTAGAATGAATTTATTTTATTAATTGCTGATAATTTCATTTATTTATTATAACTCTGTAATTAATGGTTCATTTAAATCTTTAAAATAATTCGCTAAACCTATTATTTTTTTTATTTTAATATTATTATTATGCTATTTACAAGTTATGAAAGTATATGACTCTTAAAAATTGTTTGAAATTATGAGTATGTTTGAATATTAATTATTCATTTTTTTTTTTTTTTATATAAAATTATTTTAAAATTAATAGATACATTATTAAATATATATTAGATTTAAAATATATTTTATAATAATATTACTATAATAAGAAACATAAGTGATAGTATTAAATATTTTTTTTTTTTTAAATTAATAAACATTTTTATTTATTAAAAAAATTATATATTTTTATACTTTTTTATTATTTATTTTCTAAAATTTTAATCCATTAAATAAAACATGAATAACTTAAAAAAAAAAAAATTAATAATTCATTTCTTTGTAAAAGTTTTATTTCTAACTAAAGTTACATCTGTTCTAAAATGTCTATATTCTCCTGGGATATTAAGTCTTATTTAGTTAGCATGTTCTCCATCTAAAAAAATAAATAAAAAATTGAATTTTTTATAATATAACAAAAATACCTCCAATTGGCAAACTAGTAGTAATATCACGTTTAAATACCTAATTAAGATTTGTTTTATAAGTTTACAATTAATCTTTAGGTTAAAAACCTTTTGATTAATTAATTTAATTATTAATTTATAAATTTTTCTCCGCAACTTAAAGAGCCTTATCGTAATAAGGAAGCCAAGCTCTTTAAATGGAAGTATTATCTTTCGGATCTTATTCTAAAAAATAAAAAAAATTGAAATAAATTTAAATTCAAAATATAATTACCATTTTTATATTTTTCTCCAGTTAATACTGATGTCATTTTAGAACATTATTAATTTAAAGGTCTTTCATTTGTGCCTGCAAAGTTATTTTTCTTTTCTTAAATTTCAATTACTTGTTTAGCAGTTTCTTTTATTGGACGGGAAAATGCTTATTAATATGAAGTCATTCCATAACTATTAATAAAAAAAATTCATAAATAATAAATAAAATATATATATGTTTTTTTTTTAATATTTACAATTTTTCATGAGATTCAGGGAATTTTTTAAATGTAGAACCGAAATCAGAAATATTTGTAAGTACTTATCTTTCTCTTTATACATGTTGTACATTTTTTTCATTATTTAAAATATTATATTTATCACTTTTTAAAGTTTGAATTTGGGTTGGATTGTTTTCGGGATAGTTTTTAGGATTTGTATACATTTTATTTATTGAGCGACAATCTTTCAGTCCATAATAATTATTTAAATTTATCAAATCATAACTAGTTTTTTAAGTTGATCTAAATTCTCTCTATAATATTATTTATTATTTTTATTTATTATTTTTATTACAAAACCATCATCAGCTATTACACCTTTTGTTACCCATGGTTAATTTCGGTTAACTCTTTCTAAAGGAATTAATTTATTTGTATCTGAAGCAAAAGATATTGCGGCTTCTTCTTCTCTTACCTTTTTTTTTATTTATTTTTATATTTTATTTTTATTTTTTAACTGTTTTTGATTGTAAGTTCTCGCGAAATGGTTAAACTGGTGCTAATCTTTCTTCATACCAATTTCCTTATAATTTTTTTAGTATTATTATTTAATTAAATTTAAAATAAACCCATTAATGCTGTCGCTGTATATTTATCACAAGCTTAGGACATTTTTTTATTTTTATTTCAAATGTGTAAAAAAATAAATTATTAATTAAAATAGTTATATTTTTATTTATAAACTAAAAAATAAATATTTATTATAATCTATGTTTATATTTCAAATTAATATTTTTAAAATTATAAAAAAATTACTTTTTTTATTTTTACTAATATAACTTTAATATTAAGAATTAAAAATAAAAAATTTTTAAAAAAAGTAAATATAGAATTTTTAGTAAAAAATAAATAAATATGATTAATATCTTAAAAATAAACTCAACGAAATTAATTTTTTCAATTTTTTAAGGAGTTAAATAATTTATTAACTTTTTTATTTTAATTAAATTATTTATATATTAAAACATTTTAATATTATCAAATTAGGAAACAAAAACAATAATAACTTAATATCGTAATTATCCAGTAATCTAAATTTATAATTAAATAATATTTACATAAATAAAGTTAACAGTTATATCAAGAATTTATTTTTTTATTCTTTTTATTTATTTTTTGAATATAACATTCTTTAAATTAAATTATATGGTTATTATTTTATTATAAATAATTAATTAAAATATAACAAAAAAATAAAGGATTAATGAATAAATAAAAATATAAATTATATATAAGATATAAATGTTATAAATTTTATTATTATTATTTATTTATTTATTATTTTAAAAAAATAATTATATCACATAAAATGACATTTTTTTCTTATATTATTATAACTATGCATATTAAATAAAATCTAAAATTATTTAAAAACTAAAAAATATAGTAAATAAATATAATATATCTAGAAACAAAAGCAATTTAATTACATAAAACAACTGGAATATGTGGAAGATTAGATTCGTTTTGTATATTTTTTGCGTAAAATTTTTTTTGCTTATGCTTAGTTAAAGCAATTATTTTACAATGTCTAATGTAATTATAATATCATGAGAACCAAATATTTCAATATTTTCTTTTGCCATATTTAAAAATTACTAGTATATTTTATTGACTTCGATAGTTATATTAGAAAATTGAAATAACTTACATATGTATATATTTTTAGAGGATTAAAAAAAAAAAAATTTTAAAGGCAAATCCGATATTTATAATCAATAATTTTATATTTCATATGCAAAAAATAATTAAAGTTTAAAATTAACAAAGTTTGACAGCTTTGGTAAGTTTAAACAAAAAAATTTAGCTTAATATTAACAGGAGCTAAATTTTAGTAAAGAAAATTATGAATAAATTGGTTTGAAATTTGCTAGATGAGTCATACTTTTAATTAGTAATTTAACTTATATATATTTCCTTTTATAATTTATTTACTAATAAATATTCTTTTTATATAATATTTTTTCTAAATTATAATAGCCAGTATTTAACATGCATTAATTAAGTTTAATAATATATATATTAACTTTTATAGTATTTGATAAAATAATTTTTTATTTTAACTAAAAAAAATTTATTATTTTTTAAAGTAATTTAGAATATGTTTTTTATCGCATAAAATATATTCCAGAAGATATTATTTAAAAATAAGACTTAATTAAAATGTTTAATGTTTTTTTTAGTATATATATTTTTTCTTTTTGGATGTAATAATAATATATATAATATTTATAAATAT